CTACAGACCTCTTAGGAAAGGGGTGAGGTCAATAGTAGACAGTCTAAAGTTAAAGTTTTGGGGGTTTGGAGAAAACTTTAACCTTAAGACTGTCTACTATTGACCTCACCCCTTTCCTAAGAGGTCTGTAGGGGGCGTGCATAAGCGCACCAACGTGCCTACCGTCCCTGTTCTATTGTTTCTTTTATTTTTCTTATATGTACCCATTTCATGTATTCATAACTATGTTTTTACTTATACCTATTATCTTGTAAGCAATTGACAAATAAAAATAAATAAATAAAAATAGGATGAGTTACTTCATAGTTCCATCATCTCCCAGCTGCAATAGATGCTGGGAGTTTTAAGCTAGCGGGAACCAGGTTGGGAAAGAACAGTGAGGCTGGCTTGCCCAAGGAAGGGCAGGCATTGCTCTCTGTCCCAACTGAGTCAATGAATGCAATCCCAAACATCCTTCTTTTGTCCGTCCCCCCCATCATATTTTTTAAACATTGATCCACCTTAATAGCAGAACTTTAAAAAGGATTTCTGCAATAATGGAGTGGATGAGGTACTTGTATACAAGAAATTTTTTTTCTTGCATAATTTTAACTTGTAAATTTCCCAGAGTGGCTGGTAATCTGGGGTATATATATTTAGTAAAAAACAGTCACTGTTTTAGGAAAAAGGGTAACATAAATATGAACAAATGTGGCTAGTTTCACCCATCTACACTGTCAAGACAATGAATTACTGATTTGCCATTCCATGTTTATTCTGTTACAGACTGAATAGAATAGAATACTTTTATTGGCCAAGTGTGATTGGACACACAAGAAATTTGTCTTGGTGTAAATACTCTCAGTATACATAAAGAAAAGATACATTCGTTAAGAATCAAGAATCATAACGTACAACACTTAATGATAGTAATAGGGTATAATCAACAATCAAATCATACTAGGAAACAGTCAATATAAATAGTAAGGATGCAAGCGACAAAGTTACAGTCCTACAATCACAAGTGGGAGGGGATGGGTGATAAGGAGTGATGAGAAGATTAACAGGAAAGGATTTGTATTGGCCAGTGTGTAATTTTGATGGTGACTGCAGTTTTCTGGGAAAATTAGCAGAGTTCTGAGCAGACTCTGTACTTGGAATAATGGCAGATCAAGATCCAAGCAGCTATTTCAATATAGTAACAAACTCTTTATCTTTTTTTAAAAAATACTGCAACCATCCTATTTTAAACTTGTCGTTGTTATCCATTGCTGCCTCTTCCATGCAAAAGTTTCCATAAAAAGCTTAGTCCAGTAAAAGAATGAGGGGTAGGCAGAGAGAATGGAAATTAAACTGTTGTAAAATTCATCAGCTATGTTGGATTTCAAAATGGGAAATTCTACAACCATCAATACTACATGTATTCCACGAAGGTGACACCAATGCAACTTGAACTGAAATAAATACAAAGGTAATCCTTCAGTTGCATACATTGTTTCTGTGAGTAAATGTTTATTTAAATTGCTTTAGGTGGAATGCAGTTCAACTTTTCCTTGTGCAGGAACAGTTATTGGAACCTGCAGTGAGTCACTAGAGAGTACAGTCGTGGGTTGTTGTTTTTCTAACAACTGTACTGCTATGAATAACTGCTGAAAAAAGGAGCAGTATGTAGAGATGAGGTAAATAGGCTTTTTCAATCAGTTTTTATTTTTTATTGAAAAGTTTCACCTCTCCAATACACAGCAGGAGAATACTGACACTGACATTCTCTAAGCGGATTGCCTCTTTCAAGGGACTTCAATATGCAAAACTACATACATACATGAATGACCAAATTAAATCTGTTAAAGTATCTTCCGCAGTTTTGATCTTATGGCACTACTCACAAGGGCAATACTGCTTCTCTTGGGATCTATCACATGAAACACAAATTGTGTCTAAGGCTGGCACAACATGATCCCTGCTTTTGAAGATGTGCAGAAATGTAACCAAAAGCGACACACATGCACAGATACATGTACCACATTTTCTTCCACAATAATGTAGGCAACTTTACACGGAGTGCCATTCTATCTTCAGCCGTTCAAAGACTCTCTCCATTACATTCCTGCACATGTGGTTGCATTATGCCTCCTGTTGACTGAGAAGCCTGAAAAATAGCTCCATAAGCCACTGGTATATATTTAGTATATGCTATCTCTGAAAGTAATTAATAGCGTGAAGACACCTCACCATTGATCATCATGGAATTTCCAGCAACAAGAGTTCTGAAAAACAAAAGGCATTGGACTCTTATGCAGTGCAGAAATCCCTTTTCACCAAACCATTCATGGTCTGCCAGAGATGTGAATTTTCTACAGACTGCTTGACATTCATACTTGACTCCACGTCTCAACCATTATGGTTGTTCCCACTAGGTGAGATTGATGCACAAGCTCATGGCAAATGACCAGTCCCCACACTATTATAGTCCCGTCCTCCACTGTAGCTTGTAAAGTTGCTGTTGCAACGGTGGATCGTAGGAATTGTCATATTGAAGTAATAGTTGCATAATTACAGGAATTGGGAAAGTCATAAAGCTAAAAGTGGGTGCAGGCATTTTAATGGTTCGGGGGGAATTTGCACAACACACTGAACAATCACATCAACATGTGTACAATGCCCTCTTCCCATTTTATCCAAAGTGTCTAAAGAGAAACGTAAACCCTGGTACCATGCTTTGCTTGTATGGCTTTTCATTTCCTATTATGGAAGATGGGCTGTGGTTATCCATTCTATACAGTTACTCCTAGCTTGACATTAATTGTATGTGTATGCAGATGTCCCTAGACAATTGCAAACCACTGTGTTTGTGAATACTTGGAGGAAAACATATGTTTATCCCAGATACTCATGCACTGTCAAAGAACAGCTGGTAAGGGGATTCCTCCAATTTATGGAGGGAAAACCCTGTAGAAAACCATAGGCATCCAGAAGGGCAGTGATTGAGACTAATTTAACAGAAAGCTAAAAAGTATTATTGTTTGTTTTCTTCACTGCAGTCTTTGTGGCCACTGCTCCCCCCTCCCCTCTTCCATCTTAGACTGTATTTTATCAATGCACTGGTTACTGTTGTATTCTTGGTGTGCTGCCAAATGCTGCTTTGAATCTGTGTTATTGTGTTTGTGGTACTGCCACATTTGCAGAGACAGAACTGTGACATGAATGGAAGAGAAATACTGTAAATGGGTTTGCTATGTAACAGATTCTTTTCCCATGGTTCATTGAAGGGAGCAAATTTATCAAGAGTTCTGATGCTCTCCCCCTCTCGACCCAATAGAGACCAGCATGCAATGTTCCAGGTCCCCTCAAGGAATTCAGAATTATTTCCTTAAACAACCTTCCATCCAATTTCATCTCTTGTTTTTGAACAGGATAGACCAAAGACTGAAGAAGACATCCTAGTGTAGAATCCAGGGAATAGGGGCATACTGTTCCAGGCCCTTAGGTTACTGACAAGTATGATAAAACACATATGTAGAGAGTCAGCATTCTTACAGCAAAGAAAGTTGGTGCTTGAAGTACATAAGCTGGGATACTACGGTATGTCAAATTAAAAGCAACCCCTGTTCCACACATCAACAAAATGTATATTTTATTATTTTATAGTAATATTGTTAGCCACTGCCAGGGCCAATGGAGAAGGCAAGAACAGATGATAGGAAATATACTCTTGCAAAAAGTTTATACAATAATAGTTAATAGAAAATTGAGTATGGGTCAACAATGTTTATTTTTATTTATTTATTTGATTTGTCAATTGCTTACAAAATAATACGTATAAGTATATACATAGTTATGAATACATGAAATGGGTACATATAAGAAAAATAAAAGAAACAATAGAACAGGGACGGTAGGCACGTTGGTGCGCTTATGCACGCCCCCTACAGACCTCTTAGGAAAGGGTGAGGTCAATAGTAGACAGTCTAAGGTTAAAGTTTTTGGGGTTTGGGGAAGAAACCACAGAGTCAGGTAGAGTATTCCAGACATTGACCATTCTGTTGCTGAAGTCGTATTTCCTGCAATCAAGTTTGGTGCGGTTTACCTTGAGTTTGTATCTATTGTTTGCTCTTGTATTGTTATGGTTGAAGCTGAAGTATTCATTGACTGGTAGGACATTGCAATGTATGATTTTATATACTATACTTAGATCAGACCGAAGGCGGCGTAGTTCTAGGATTTCTAGGTCTAGAATTTCGAGTCTGGTGGCATAAGGCAGTGGCCCCCAACCTTTTTTGTGCCACGGCCTGGTACCGGCATCACAAAATGATCCATGGCCCGGTACCGGCATCAGCACACATGACAAGGCAAGGCGAGCTGAGCAACCAGCCAGCCAGCCGTCCCCCGCTTCTCCCCACCACCTTCAACTCCTCCTTTGTACCTTTGTCGATGGGCTTCGCTTTGGGACGGCTTTGGGACGGTCACTCGGCTCACCTTGCCTTGGGTGCTGAAAGAATCCTCGTGCCTTAGTTTCATTTGAAGCCCTCCCCCTTCGATGAAACTAAGGCGCGAGGATTCCTTCAGGACCCAAACGCCGCTTTCCAACCGGAAAAGCTCACCTGGAAGCACTTTCTCGTCAAACAAGATGGCGGCGCCCAGCAAACCGGCAGCCCGGTAGGAAATGTTCCACGGACCGGTACCAGTCCACGGCCCGGTGGTTGGGGACCCCTGGCATAAGGTATTCTGCAACGAGTAGAGGAGTGTGTTGTAGTTTCAAAAAAAAATCCAATTTAACAGAATAACCTAGTTGGAAGGGACCTTGGCGGTCTTCTAGTCCAACCCCCTGCAGAGATAGGAAACCTTACATCTACACCATTTCAGAAAATGGCT